TAAATCTCTTGATTGGTTCCGATGATATGACTTTATTAAGTCAATTTCAGTGAGTTCTTTTAGTCAAAAATATTTACATCTCTTTGTCAATCACGTATCGTAGTAAACGATTTGTATGATTAATGCTTCTCTTCAATACTATTGACAAACTGCAATTTACATAAAAAGTGCTATTAAAAAGATACGGTGCCACTTAACGGCACTAAGACTTTACTTTGTATGAATCCATGTGTATTACATTTTTTTTACATTCGTTTTACTAAAAGCAGTAGATTTCACAAACATCCAATCCAATAAAATTTGATAATTGTTACTCCATTTTATATAAGACATATTTAAGGCTTTCAGTGCAGATAATATATGGTTGATTGTTTGCAGTGATTAATTCCACGTTCTTAGAAGGAAGGTCCTATGTACAAATTAAATCCATCCATTTTAATTTGTTTAATTTAACAGATTCTTTGTTTTTACTGATGACTAATGCGTCTCTCAAGAAAATACTTCTTTAGTAAGCAGTTTCCACCATTAGACAAAGCTAGGCTATCATAGAAAAAATATATAATTGTTTCTTCTTTATCTAAATTTCCACAACTTGTGCAAAAAATGGTGAACGAAATTCAAGTTGTGTATTTGCGAAATCCCTGTGAGGTTTTTATGCACTAGTAGCTTAAGGGAAGTGCAATTAGGCTAGCAATATAAATTTGTTCCCAGTCCAAAAAATGTTCGGGTGCAAGATGTTGTACTTATGCTGTGACGATCGGGTTGGTTCACATGTTTTATATGAGTTTTCCTTAATTATTAGCTGAATTAGGGAAAAACAGTAAGGATAGAAATGCCATTTAACTATCGTCAGTCGATTTCAGTCGAACACTTGCTGACTTGCATTGATTTGGTAAAGAAAGCTTGATAATCGCTTGACGGTGAATAAAAATGGAAATATTGCTGCAATCCATAATATAGTTAGAAATTTACTAATTTGTAAACCCAATCGCTACGACTTCACTTTGAAAAGTCGAAAAATAATAAGTTAGTCAGAGAGGTTTATTTGTGTCAGCGAATTAAAGAAATGGTCTTGCATTTACTACGTAGATTATTTTGAGCTATGCGGTAAAAAAGAGTTATCACTTATTCTCCACATGTACATATCTATATCAGTACCAATATTTAATTTATATTAAATCATAGATATGTATAAACATCGAGGAAACATAAAAAATAAATTTTTATCAAATTAAAAATTCGGATTAGTTGTATTAATAAAAAAACCTTGTTTTATATAATTTCGTATGTGTTAATATAAGTTAGGTTAGGTTAGGTTAGAGTGGCGGTCTTGTGTCCAAGAAACCCATTGAGCTCAAATAATATCCGTTGTGGTATCAAAGAGTAGTGGTATTAGTAATACTACTTGCTTTATGAATTCAATTCTAATTTTTTATATTGCAAAAAGATTCATAAATTAGTTTAACTATATATGTATATATAAAGCAGTACGCTTGTATCGATCTTTATAGTACTTATAATAATCTAACAAGATATGGTATAATATATTTTAATTATAATAATTCTTATATGTAGTTCTTTTAACTTTTCATTTAAGTAAGTATCAAAGTTCGTGTTATATTTCATATTTATTTCCAGGTGTTTATACAGTCAAAAAAAGAAATATATACGTTGAGTGAGAAAAATTTCATAAGTATAATGAAGTATTGTATAATATAATGAGGTATAGAACCTTGATTTGGTTTTATACTCACAAAAGAGTAATATAATCATATAGTAAATAATGCACCTAAATTAACAGTTTTGAAATTTGAAAATTAAAAATATATATAATTAATTATTTCAATTATTCTACAGCTGGATTGTGATTTAATATAAGTGAATCGCAGCAAGTGATTTTGTTAATGAACTTTCACAGCAAATTAATAAAACTTCGAGTTTGAATATATTAGTCAAGTATGGATTTGGATACTGACTCTGAGCTTCAAGTTTGTAAGAATATGAGTTCAATCCTTAGTACATGCAGTGTCAAAAAATTATTTACGAATAATTAAATATAATAAACCATTTCAAGACCATTGACAATGAGTATTTAGCAATCCTAAAACAGTTGTTGGTCAGGCAAACATTAAATTAATTAAAAATATTGAAAATAATTTTTGTTGTTGCAATTTCACTATTGTTTCTGACAATAATAGTTTATATTAAGTACTTATTTTTTTTTCAACAAAACGGACGTTAAAAATCAATTTAATATAATGCAGTATTTCATAGAAACCTCTAAAATATAAAATGATAGTAACTGTTTTTGTTAATGTGCAAGAGGTATATTCGACCGTTCCGAACTGCAGCAAAAAACAACAAATCTCTTTCTAAGATTTCTGATTTTTACGCAAAACAACAACACTATTCTCTTGTTCTAACATTTTAGTTATGAAATGTCTAATGATCTAAGAGACTGTAAAAAAATTTTTACCAACGCGAGTAGAAATATACTGTAAACTTTCATTGGAATATTCCATTCATATATCAAAACTTTAAACATAATTAAAAATTTTTACTAATTTTTACAAATTTATGAAAAACAAATATTTTAATAAATTTAAAAATTGAGGATAATAAATATTTTAAAAATGTTCAAAAATTTTTAATTACACATGCGGAATTAAAAATTCTGATTTAAAGGCCTTTTGAAATTTTTTATTTATTTTGTTGTTAAAAAAATTTTTTAATTTTCGTATAACGTTAATATTGCCTTTGATATATTTACGCTATTCATTTTAATCTCTTAATAAATATTTAAATTTATACAAAATTAAGATTGTCTTGAATTTAATGCAAATATGTACAAGTTTATTTTGAAAACACAATAGGTCTGTTCCAGCAGCTACTTGTAGTAACTTCGAGTAACAGTAGCATCAGCAAATTCTCGTATAAATGAGAAAGCGTAACATCCCTGTCGAAATTTAAAAATGCTACACAGATTTTACTTGTACATTTTATTTCAAGTAAAATTTCTGTTGATGTGTGAATCAGCTGTTTTGGTTTATTTAAATTTGAATTTTTGTATTGTTTATTTATGTGGCATTGGTGTTCTTACCAGACGTTACACATAGCTGTTCCATGAAATCCTGTGTAAAGAGCGTAATTTGGCACTTTATTTGTGTTACGCTCTCAGTTTGTACCATATTTGTGTTTTACTAGAGTGAAAAAGTTACATCAGCGAGCCGCTATGATCATGGTTGCCACATGTGACACTTTAGTACCATAATTCGTACTTTTTTCCGTATGGTACTCGTTTTTTTAGAAAATGATATTTTTTTGAAGCGTGAACCTCATAGTACATACTATTATATTATCCAATTAAATTTATTTATAGATGCAACTGGGCACTATGAAACTAATATACTATTATGTATTAATTTAGAAATAATTTTGAGGCATTATATAGCATTATATTATGCAAACAATTGTGCACAATAAAAAGACTTGTACTGTTTTATATCTTTTGTACAGTTTATATATATTGTATTTTCTTATTAAAATACAACAGAATAAAATGGGACCTTTTTTTACAGTACCTTTTTTAAACATTTTTGGGTACGGAACAATTTTTCAAGTGGCAACCGTGGCTGTGATGCCATAATGTTAGCAAGAGACTTTAGCAGGAGACTTTAGCAGGAGACTTTAGCAGGAGACTTTAGCAGGAGACTTTAGCAAGAGTCTTTAGCAGTTGACTTTAACAAGCGACTTTAGCAAGAGACTTATTGTATTTTACAAGACTTCGGAACGGGTCAACACACCTCATATTCCATTTCATATATTGCAGTATTTTTTGAAAGAGTAATAAACAATATCGCTTAAATTATTATTAACATTTTTCTTTTGGTTTGCATAACTTAATTAAACTCTTCGGTTCAGCTTTACTTGTGTGTGTATGCTAATTCATAAAGTTCTATTTGATTCCTAATAGCCGTGTTGTCTTGCGTTTGAACGGATTGAAGAAAACTTAGTAAATTTTCCATAAAAAATTAAAGAAAGAAAACGATAAAAAGAAGTGCCAAGAAAGCATTCATAATATTTTCAATCACTTTTTTAACCCTAAACAAAATTAACCATTTATGTTATTTATTGCCATACAACATACACATATTAGTATATATAAATATACATATGCTTGCATAAAACTTAATGCTTGTATGCGTGTATGTTTACGCTTCTGTAAGCGACAGTCAGACAGACAGACCTACGTTGACGTTTTTTAGCAGCAAGCGGTGTTATAAAGTGTGTGTATATAATTTTACTTAGCCACAATTATTTTCAAAAAAAAAAAAAGCACAATAAACAGTATGAAAGTAAAAAAGAAAAAAGCATTCTTATTCAGATAAAAAGAGAGGCTTGAGACAAAAGCGGGTAATAGTTGTTACCAAGCGAAATTGGCGTGAATCAGTTTTGTAGCTACAGCCATACTGCGAACAGCTGGCTAGCGCAGCAAAGATTCAAATCCGCTGTGTTGGTAATGGTGGTAAGTCAAAAGCGAAATGCACGAAGATCATTGTTGCTGAGAGTAGCGGCAACAGCGACCGTGTGTGAAGCGTGAGTCAAGCTTCGTTAGTGCTACGTAGGTAGGGAATACCTTAGCTTGCTGGGCCAGTTGTGGTTCATACGACGACAATTCAGTTGTGATGTTTTTGGCTTAAAACAATGTTGAGCGGAAAAACATGTGTGTATATTTAAAATAATAATTAAAGAAATGAGTAAATAAAAAAATAGATAGCCAAAAAAAAAAATTTTCATTAATATTATTAAAGTTAAAAGTGAAAATGCAGCTTAAATAAAAATTGTAAAATATATGAGAAATAATAAAATCAAGTTAAAATTAATGTGGCTTATGTAACTAATAATGAAAATAAACGCAAAACAAGTTAAAAAATTGTATGCCAAAGTTAAAAAACAAAGTGAAAAGAAAAATACATGTACTTGAAAAGTAAAAATAAAAAATAATAAATAAAAAACAAAAAATAAAAATAAAACGTATAACAAAAAAGTTGTCTTTCTAACTTCAAAGATATTTTTTCATAAAAATATAAAAATATATATATTTTAATTAAATTTTGAACGCGAAAGTGTAAAATAAAATCAGATTTTAATTATGGCTGATGCAGGCGCCAACGATCTACACGAGGCACCAAATAGTTTACAAAGTCAAAATAACGTTAGCGCCGCTAGTGCTGCTAGTGCTGCTACACACCCATTGCAGGACATCGAACTAACAATGGACGAGCCAGATAGTTCCAATGCATCACACAATAAAACAAACAACAAAGAAAACTGGGTTAAATTTGATGACGAAGTTAACGAAAATACTGAAAATAATAATAATAATAACAACGGCAACAGTGGTGGCAATAATAAAGCCACTAATAACAGTGAAAATATCACAAGAGAAAAAACAAAAGCAGCTCAGTCAACGTCAACTTCACCAAACAAGTTACTACCACCACCGAGAGCAACACACACCGGCGCAACAGCGGCAGCAGCAGTAGCAAAGCCAATAACATCGGCTACAGCTACACACGATAAAGCAACTTCAAATGAGAGTAAACAACAACAACAACAAACGGCAACATCTGCACCTGCACAGGTGAGTAAAGCGCACAAAGCGCACAAAGTTGCATTTCGTATAGTCGTATATGAAACGAATTATAAAACAAAAAAAAAACAACAAATAATTTTTGTTAAATTTTTTTAATAAATTATTTAAAAGTGAAAAACTGATATTGAAATTAGTTCACAAAATAAGATTAGTGTGTTTTGATAAAGTCTCAAATGCCTTATTTCTTGCTGCACACAACAAAATTTTGTGTAAACAAAATGTTTTAATACAAAAAATTGTGGAGAGTATCGTGAAGTGGAGAGTTGCTTTTTAGGTCACATAACTTAAAAAAGAGCATTCAACTCCACGAGTTTGAAATTTTTGTCAATGATTTTGTCGATCAAGCAACACTGCGAAGTGAATGAGCATAAAAATAACGTCTGTCTTTTATGACAAAAAAAAAACAAAAGTTGTTTATCTTATATTCATTCTATTATATATCTGTACAGAAACACATTATCTATACTTTATTGCTTACGAAACAAAATTATTCAGAAAAAATGCTCAGCACGTTATACGTACATATAGATATATATAAAATGTTCTTTTTTTTTTAAATAAAAAATTTTTTTAAGTTAACAATTTTTTCAACTTAACAATTTTTTCAACTTAATGATCATTTGCATACCAAGCAAAGATGTGAGTTAATTAGCGTTAAATTAAATTTTTTTTTGATTTTTTTTTTTAATTAGGTTTTGTTAAGTGTTATCATGTGCCATAAAAATTAATTAGAAATTCTTATCAAATTAATAACACTTTTCGAAAAGTTGTTCACTTCAAAGAACAATTTAAATTAGAAAAAATATACCAAAATAACTTCATTAACAACTTAATTAATGCAAACACATCTTACGTACATATGTATCCTTATTATAAATTAACTAGAAAGGTTTAAATATTTATCATCAACAGAGTTTGTCATGCTTAAAGCATCAAACTTTCTACAATATACATATATGTTGTGCTTAAATATCAAATACGGTGTGTAGGGTGGATGAAAAAGTAATTCATTGCACAAGTAATGCAGTTTTTCCATTACTGTAATTTAAATGTAGCTTCAACTTGCGGGTATTAAAATTTAATAATTAAATTAATTAGATTCGGAGTGTAGGGTGAATGAAAAAGTAATTTAAAGCACAAGTAATGTAATTTTTCCATTACTGTAATTTAAATGTAACTTCAAATTACGGGTGTTTAAATTTAATAATTAAATTAATTAGATTCGGAGTGTAGGGTGGCTGAAAATGTGATTTATAGCGCAAGTAATGCAATTTTTCCATTATTATGATTCACATATAACTTCAACTTGCGGGTATTAAAATTTAATAATTAAATTAATTAGATTCCGAGTGTAGGGTGGCTGGAAATGTGATTTATAGCGCAAGTAATGCAATTTTTCCATTACTATGATTCACATGTAACTTCAACTTACGGGTCTTTAAATTTAATAATTAAATTAACCAGATTCAAAGTGTAGGGTGGATGGAAAAGTAATTTAAAGCGTAAGTAATGCAGTTTCTCCATTACAGTGATTCATATGTGACTTCAACTTACGGATCTTTAAATTTAATAATTAAATTAACCAGATTCAGAGTGTAGGGTGGATGGAAAAGTAATTTAAAGCGCAAGTAATGCAATTTTTCCATTACTGTGATGCATATGTAACTTCAACTTGCGAGTAAAAAAAAAATCAAATGTTTCTTGTTCATTTGAGGTCGGTTTTCATTGATATACTGTTCATTATTTATTCTTTGGGATTGGGTAAGTGGGAAATTGATAATTCAATTATTGTGCATATCGTAAATTAAGAAGATCAAAATTTCAGTAGTTGATATTTACATATTTTGATTTCTATGGATGCCTTTTATCTTATTTAAGAAATCATTTTTAAGCACTATCATATTTTTGATTTTCTATAAGTTAAAGCGGTTCTCACCCTTCAACGCATCAAATATTCATAAAAGAAAATTTGAAAAAAAATACATTTTGTAAATTATTAATGCTGTGACCAATACCGTTATAGCGTTTTCGATTGGTGAATCTGGATTCAAAAAATATTTACCCTCGATCTGTCAAATATTATTGCCCAGTCGAACATTTTTAGAGTAATCTAAAATTTTGGTGGTTGGGTTAGTAAGCTTTTGACAACTCACATACATTGCGTATTATAAGAAATAAGACGTTTGAATTATATAAAATTGAAAAATATATCTTCATCTGAAGATTTATTGTCAAATGACAACACGTTTGCAGCCAAATGTGTTTTTTTAATTTTATCCATTGCTTCAAAAAACGATGTCAAATATATAAACAAACTGCTAAGTCCAATTGGCTAAGCTAAGCTAAGTCCAATTGGCTTATTTTCTCAGATTTGTATGATAGTGTCTATAATTATAATAAGTATAAAATAAGTATAATTTTGATAACCAATAGCTCTTTTTTCCCTTTAATTTGATTTGGATAAATTAATTAACTTTTTCCTTATCTTCTCATTTTTTATTTTCGATACGTGTGTACTTTAATTAATACAGATTGGATTCCTCAGATTCCCCTGTGAACTGCTATTTTTTACTTTTCACAAGATCTCCAGCACTTATGTTTTTACGTATTTTTTGGACTTTTATTTCTTGTTTTAAGAGCATTTGATATATTCCTAACTAAATTTCTCTTCGCTATACGTAAAAGTTCGAATTTCTAGAAATTTTAGTATAGGTGCCTACTGATAAACAAAGAACTTGATAAACATTAGCAGCTGTCAGTCAGCAGAACTGATAGCAATGTAGGTAATCTTATACTAAGGTAATCCATTTTTATACAGGATTATTAAAAAAAAAACAAATTTCTGTACCTAGAACAGATTTGATGAGAAATGACACAATTAAGTATATTGTAAGTAATATATTATAATATTCGTAAACATTTTCATAGTAGGTGGGTTGGAGTGGTTGGCATTAAGTTAAATGGTTTTGTATTTCTCTAGCCGATGCAATATTTTTTATGATAAAAAAACAACAAAAAAGTCAAGTACGGCTTTGGGTCGGTTGTTTAAGGAGCACTGACTCTGAGCTTCAAATTTGGCAGGGAACGGTTCGATTCCTGGAACTTGCAGTTTCAAAAAATTATTTACAAATAATTAAATACAAGAATAATTTCCAAGACCACTGATGATGGGTATTTGTTAATATTCGAAATAGCTATATGGTTAGGCAAAAATTCAATTAATTAAATTAATACCTATAAAAAGAATTTTTGTTGTTGTAGTTCACTACTTTTCGAAAAAAACCTTTTTAACAAATTTTTGTTTCATAAAATTGATTGCATTTTGCCATTTAGTGTACTAGATATATTTCAACTTATTTTCGATGACACGGTATAATATTAGCAATAGTCTAGCAATAACTTAACGGATCTTTCTTTTAAAAGGGTAAAATATTTGAGGATTGTCAACCTTAACATGATCATTTATGCAATCCAACAAATAAAGAATCTAATGGTGAGAATTAGATCTTGATTAAAACACTATAATAAATAGTAACAGGTATGGAATGTTTCTCACATAACAAAGCCAAAACGGAACGTATTGTGGGGATTGTCATTTATGGCACCATTCTATTGAACCGGCATATCTTCAGCATGCACCTCTTCAACTAACTTTTATCACTTTCAAAAAAGTACAGGCCTATTATACCTTCATATATCTACAACGCAGTACCTTTTTGTGGATTCTATGGTTCTTCGACAATAGATAGTTGCTTTGTATTTCCACTGTCCTTCAAATACAAAAGCTTTGTTTGTTGATATACCCAAACCCAGTGAATAATTTTAATCTAACTCATAAAATTGATTCAAGGTCTCTTCGCCTCCTAGTAGAAACTTCATTGGCCTAGCTTCGCCTCATTTCATTTCTAAAACACCACCGTGACCTGTAACCCATATAAGACATAGTCTATTACATTTTTTACGGGCATAACAAAAAACTGATATGTTATAAATAAATTGTTAAATATCATGTGTTGAAATTTTTATCAAATTGCACTTTCTGCGATACAGTTTCATTAGCTTTGAGTAAATTTACATAAGATAGCTAAATGTTTATATAAGAACGTAAAATTTAGCTGAGTGTTCCTAATTATTTTTGTATAAAAAACTTATCTATATTTGTTTAAAACTGCGTACATACATATATTTGTATAAACGAACAAGTAACTGAGTGTATAAATCTTAAGAAAGCGCTGACGAAAATATCTATTCACACATAAGTATCTATTATTGAATTTTGATACATACCCGTATATAACCTGTTGACTGTTTGTGTTGAAAGTGCTTTTTATTTTTGTTCTCAAATTAATTAAGATAAATAAAAACTTTCAATGCAAATTTTCATAATTAAAAATAACAATTCAGTTGACTTCAGGTTCAGTTCTTAACATTGAAAATATGTTTTCATATTATTCATTCTGTAAATAAATACAGTAAATTGGTAATGAATATTCAGGTGAACTAGCAGAGATAGGAATGAGAACACTTAGTCATATTTAATTATATATACTTGATTATTAAGTAATTAATTTATAATATTATGAAAGAAAAATTTTGCCTCGGAGTCAACTTGTAAACAAAACCAGTTGTAAGCAAGTTTATAAGATACTCTCTCACGTGCAGTAGTACGAGTATAAAGAATTCACGACACAAGTAGTTATACATACCTATTCTATAGTTATAAAACAGATATAAAAACAAAAAAGTTAAATACGTAGATACTTGAGTGCTCAACTAGCGATATTACATAGATTTAGCAATAAGTTTCTAATGATAATAATAGTGTAAATATACATCTAAAAATAAAACAGAAGACTGTTGTTGTTAAATTAATCACTAAAAATAGTTACTTCTATAACAAAATGGTTCAATTTATTTATAGAATATATATCTATTCGAATTATTTGAATTTCATACTTTTATCAAATATATAAGGTATCAACTTTGTGTTGATATTGAAACATATGGTTTGGTGTCCGCAGGTATATATATTTGTAGATAGATTATAATTTTTAAAAATGTGTAGCGCACAGTAATTATAGATATATAAAATTATATATAAGGCTAAGGCGTTTATGCACTGCGACCAGCTTGATCTATTGTGCATCTCTTTGTGTTTAGACATTTAGTATCTCGAGGAATCGAACTAGCTCCTTCGCAGGGAGTTTTTTAAGGTCTTCAGTTAGTATGCACCTAAAATTTTGTTTCTTCTGTTCTCTAGTGCATCACAGTTAGTGATCAGATGTTCCATAGATTCTTCCTTATCACAGCAGAATCTGCAAATATTTGTGTCGGATATATATATTTTATGTAGGTGTTTATTGCAGGTGGCGTGATCTCTTAGTGCACCAGAGAGTGACTTTAAACTCTTCTTGTTTAGGTTGAGAATAGGTTGTTGGATAAATTTGTGTCAATGTGCTTTAGGTTAACATATACCGGCAATCCCAAGGGATTCAACTGGGTGTATAGACCCATTATGTTGCCGTATATAGAAAAACTCAGCGGTTTAGCTTTGCCAAAGGTTTAAAATTATAATGCTAATTATGGACAGGTCTTGCAGTTAGCTAAGATTCTCAAAAAATAAGCCACTAAAGTAATAAGTTGGCGCGACGTATGTGTCCGACAGAAACAAAGCAGATGGGCAGCACTTAATAGTCGTCTCCACAACTGTCGTAGTATCGTAGGTTTAATTGAAAGGGAGATTTAGTTTTCTTACCTAAAATGCATGAACTTGTGAATAAATCTACCACAAGACTGATATCTGTACGGCAAATCTCAATGAGAACATTGGATTTCATTTTAGTAGAAAGCCAAATTGCATACAGATGTCTACATATCGTTGAGTCTTCGTATGTTTTATTAAAAAGTTCAGCACGGAAAGAACTATTAATGTGTCTTACAATATTTTTTGATTTTTATTTGAAAGTATTTGAAGTTCATTTATATTTATACTTAAGATTTTTTCATCTAAAGAAACTGGTCAAAGAACCTTAATGGGTTTGCTATATTACATATATTAGCTCTTTTTACATCATTTGTTCTACCTAAACTGTAGAATGTGTTAGCGAGGACTAAGATTAATTATACTATCAGTCAAATTTAATTCTTTTCTACAGAATGCTATATTATTTTAGTATTTGTTGCAGTTTAGTAATATATATTTCTATTTTTTTTCGATGTACAGGGCTTTAAATTATCTATAGTAGTAATGGATATACGAATCTAAAACTATAATTTAACTGTACCGATAAATGTGCTATCGGCACATGTTATTGTTTTCTGCCACTAATCTCTCTCTTGCTTATTAAAATATGCTGTCATCTAATTTTAAAGACAAGCGAGAAAAGAAAAGATCAAACTTTGCCAAAAATAGCTTGTCTAACAAGTTTTGAGATACTTTAACCAGTTTATTTTTTTTTTAATAAAATATATTGTAACAATTTGAAGGTATTTTTGTGTATTCCTGAAGACATAATTCTATGCTAATGTAATTTCTATCAAGCGTGTTTAGCTTTAAACAATCGTATAAAACGTTTCCAATTGTATTCTATATTAAGATAGTATTCGGTAATATTAAATAATTATTATTAAAATAAATATAATTTTGTGTAATTATTAAAAACAATTTATTTCTTAATTTTTAACAATGTAAGTTACGTTGTAGTTGTTTCGTTTTTTGGATTTCCATTACTGCCTCCATTATTGCCATAAAAATTAATTAACAATTTTATATGCGCGCTGGCACGTTTCTTATAGCAAAAATGTTAATTTGTATTCAGTCACCATTTTATAATTAAATTAATTTTTATCTTAAGTTATACAGTCTAAAATTAAATTTTAAATAAAAACTTTGGTTACGTGTTACTTGACACTTTCAGTATCGATATAGTTTAAAGTTTCATTTAAACGTGAAAAATTTTTTATAAATGACCTTTCGAAAGCAGGACTTTTCAATAAATATTCGTTATCTATTGACGATTACTTAACTTCTGCTCAAAAAGTATCCGGATTTTATTGTTTGTTAACTATTCCTTTAGTAATAGACCTTTTTCAAAAATTTTTTTTTGTTATGTTGGCACACCCTTTCTTGACATATGGTACAAATTTGAGCATCATCTGTCAATTAATTTGTTTACAGCAGCTGTTAATGTGAGACTACCTCAAGTGCATTTAGCGATTTTTATTATGGAAAATTCTTATTGTACGCGATTTTTTGATCAAACACAACACCACTGTCATCGCTCAGGCACCATATTCGCCAGATCTGGATCCGTGCGACTTTTTCCTGTTCCCGAGACTTAAACTGCACCTTTATGGTAAGCGTTTTGAGTCGATTGAATCGGTAAAAGAGAATTCGCTGAAGGAACTAAAAGCCATACCTTCACGGACCTACGAAAAGTGTATGGAAGCGTTGGTATATGTGTATCGCTTCAATGGAGTTTATTTTGGAGAAGATTTTATCTCCTTTAAATTTTTTTCCAGATTAAATTTGGAATAAAATTTAAATTTGTGTGTTTTATTTACAAAATCCGTGTACTTTTTGAGCAGAAAGTATATCTGCAATATAGATCTTTTACAATTGCATTGTTAACATTTGATAATATTTGGGTGAAGTTATTGCGTTAAAGGTAATCTTATCTTTGTTTTATCTTTGCAAACAAGAGCATCGAACCAAATCTTTAATGCTGAAAATTTGTTTCAAACTTGGTAAAATTTTTACTAATATAACTCAGTTACATAGTAACAAAGTTCATGAGTGCTATATGCGGCTTAAAAAATATTATCATGGCATGAAAGATAAGTAGCATCGTAGGTAACTAAAGTCCGTGTTCCACGCAAATTTCAACAATACTGGAATTCACCCAAGGTCAGCATTAATTTATATTAAAACTTATGCAATAGAATAGTAGGAATCTCTCTCTTATCCTCTGCTCCCAGTGTAGAATAGGGTCACTGGAACTCAAAAGGAATATCATAGGAATAGGATCTCAAAAAAATCTCAACAATATGCATTTCAGACTTCGTTCCCTATTCAATAGGGAACCAGCCGTTTCATTCGCAATTTCATCCGTTAGAAAGATGAATCACTACTCCTTTTCAACATAGTATCTCTTAACTTTTAACTATTATTTTTGTACAACATTGTGTATTCTAATATATTTTATAATGATTTTCATTCCAAAAAGTATTTTTCATTAGAAAGTAACTGCAATATTTCAAACATAACAAATCCCATTGCAAATATTTTTTGCTTTTCAATAATGACTAATTATCATACCCAGTACAAGATATATTCTATAAAGACTCAAAGCGTTGGAAATCAATAATATTGAACAAAACTTAAAAAATGAAAAATGTGTACAAATTTGCATATTAAAAATATTTAAAAAAAAATAAAATAAAAATTAAAAAAAATAAAGAAAGAAACTACTATGAACCCAACAAAACGAAATATACGAGTACACGTGTTCAAAATGTCATTACCGAGCTAAGCACATTATAGGTATGAGTTCACTGCAATTTATTTGTTGAAGGTAAAATACATAAAAGAAGCTATATATGTTTGCATAACTCTATGTACTTCTTTGTGTATTATTTTGGTGTGAATTTAAATGAAAATGTGCACATGTATCTCTATTTAAGGCTCCTTATAGGCGTATATATATATATATAACTAGACGTGATGTTTTAATTATTTTATATGTTTTAATGTATCTTATTAATCAATATTTTCAGCGTAGTCCAATTTCCTCAAAAACATTGGCGGATGTAGCTCCCGCTGTTTTAACCACAGAAAGCACGCACGTCAATTTAAATGCATCCGGTAAACCGCAACAAAATCCTCAACAGCAACAACACCAAAAATCAAAGCCAGCTAATGTCTTGGCAACGTCAAATAGTCAACAACACAATACATCAAGTCAACATCACAGCAATAACGGGGCGAGCAATGTTACGATTCCCATTGAAACAGCACCACCAATGCGTACTATTGAACTTTCAACGGGCAGAATACGTGAGGGATTTGGTAAGTGCTTAAATCCAATATAAATGAACTACTCCGTTAAAAAAAAAACAAAAATGATTCATGATTTTAGAGTTATATGGAAGGATTTGTATAGTTTTAGTTATTGATGTGAATTGACTTCTATAGTAGGTGTTACGTGTAACACTACTGTTATGAATTAGTTTCCATAGAACTATGCGCATCTAAGACTATTCTAGTAAGTTAGCTTGTGTGGAACGACATGTAGTACTAGCTATTATTAACATCACTGTCTAATTTTTTGAAAAACATATATACACAGTTTTTCCGAAGTCGGATGACGCTAGTCAAAATCACTTAAAACATTTATTGATTTAAATCTTTACTCTTATTTTTTCAAATTAGTCTTCTTTTTAGTTAATAGAGCGCTAGAAAGATTCACTAGATTTTTTGTAACATTTTTAACATTCATCAGTCAAAATTGGGTTCAATATATTGGTGGCAATTTTTTGGATGACTTAGATGCTGACTAAACGATTTCCATTTCCAAACTAGGTGCATACGTGGAATAGTCAACAAAAATAATTCTTTTTGTAATCAAGAACTCACAGACCATAATGGTTTTGGTGGATGGTACCTAATAATGCACTTAAACTCAACTATTTGATTCACGATATTCCAATTGAGAAGATCAAATTCTATTCATCGTCAATTTCAGTTTGAAGTGTAGCCAGATGTCGTAGGAAGCTAAACTAAATGCATACGTGGGGCAGTATAGTAATTAATTAATCTTGCTTTTCCAGAATATTTGTCTGGTATTCAATCATCTTTTTAGATGATGTATTGCCGCTCGTCTCTCCCACAACACTAGATTAGATTAGATTGCAAACGATTATATTTTATTTAAAAAACATATCATCCAATAATATAATAGTCACATAAAAATAAAATCTTAGAATGAAATGAATATGACATATAAGGAATATTAAGTTAATGCAATATAATACAGAAAATAAAAAAATTATTCTCAGATGGTTGTTAACAAAAAATATACTTAACGGCAATAAAATATAATATGGGACTATTACCTTCTGTACCCCACTATACTCTCTATACTATACATCCAAGTATAGTCACTGTAAAGACCCTGCGTTTGAACTGATAGTCGTTTACCTCATCAAATTTAAAAAGTGTTGCCATATGTATTTATTAAGAATGAATCTTTTAAGGTGTTCAATAATTTGAACAACAAGTTAAGTCCTCTATAAACTTCATTAATCAGCTCCAATGTTTTTCAACTAAGACAGTGATTCTTGTTTTACAAAGTATTTGCTTTGTGACTGATTAAGAATACGAAATCAGCATGGTCCAGATCATTACGTTGAACGAATACGGTTTAGTGGATACTTTGCCTTATTCTTATGGCTCAGTGAATTATTTTGTCAATCGGTTAATAGGTATGGCAAACCAGCTAGGTGTTCAGATGTAATCTTGCTTTTATTTAGTAGTACTCGGTACTTAAACTGGTAGTACTCTGTTTGGATGATTACCAAGGATCAGCCCAAATAAATGACCTATCAAATCTGTCAAAACCTTTTCGAAGTCTAGTTTTTTCTAATAAAAAACATTATTCAAAGTTTGAAAAAATGTTTATTTTAGCTTATCTCTAACATTTTTAATATGAATATTCAGCGATATACTTAAGCATTTATGAATACTTATTAATAAAAAAAGAAACAGTATTCAGTTGTAGGTTCTAAATAAATAAATATTTCTTATAATCTTATAAGTATATATAGTACCATGCTCAATGATTATTATTAAAGCTGAAAATATTGATTATCATTGTTGTATTTAGCAAATGGTGATGTGATTGTCACGCTGTTACCTGCAAATACAAAATGGCCTTGGATAACACCGGCCATCTTTCGACCAGAGTTAGTACCAGAGGAATTAATGGCACAAGGTTTAACTGTAAGTTTATAGAATATTATTTAAAACTCTTTATAATAATTATTTTCATTATTTTTATTGCAGCTAACTGTTGAAGAATATGTACAGGCTATGGAGACCTTAGTAAATGATTACCGATTTACTGTATACAATATCTGTTATAAAAGGATCTTAGTTTGTTGGATATTATTTGCTTTCGCTGTACTACTTACGTTACTATTCTCTGGTTTGCAAGGTGTCGCCTTGTTTTCCTTAGGCGTTGGTTGGCTGTTTTTGAATGCTGCTGCAATTTTCCTTTGTATGTGGGTTAAATTACGTTTGTCCCGCGGTCTGGAGAAGTGTTTGGCACGTGTAAACAAGCAACTAATGAAGCACAAGATTTTACTTGTGCTGGACGATCGTGGTCGCATATCGTGCCATAAAGTGAACCTATGTTTTCTTTACTTCGATGCAACACAATGTGTTAACTTTTTAAATGAATTTCTGGAACACACTGAACAGAATGGCGGTGAGCGAATAAAAGCCGGATGGGAGGCAAAATTGGATATTGATGTGAATGATATTGTTATACAGGGCACCAATCCAGTGCGTCTGTCCCGAAAACAGGTAAAGTACATTTTATCGTAAATTTTATTAAATATTATTTAGTAAAACTGAATGCTATTAAAAGGTGAATTGGTTTTTTGGTTTCTATAAAAAGGGGTTATTGCATTTTTTTTTGTTTAATAGATTTACTTGTTTTTAAAACAAAATGTAATGCCTATATAGTTTAAATAAAAGCAAAAGTAACACTATTAAATGTTTGGTATTGCTTTTCCTTTAAATCAGTATTAATTTTTATGGGTAGACAAAATAATACTAATGACCAGATTTTTGTATGTGTAAAGGATGTAATTATAATTTACCATAATCCTTTTAAGAAACTTCACTTACCTCCCATTATCTCAAATGTTCCTTACTATTTATTTATTATTTTATGTATTTCTTTAAAAAAAAGCGCTGATGATTTAATGAATATGTGATAGTACTTGGGATTAATTTTAAAGCATTTTTTAACCCTTCTTTTATATTATATTAAATTAAAATAATTTATTTTATAGGAATTCATGTTAAGTAGAATAATATTAAATTTCGAATAGTTTATAAGTATTAAGAATATTACACTTATGTTTACAAATGTTTTGTTTTGTATAATTAAAATAAATAAAATCGATATATATATAATGTTGTTGGGTATCTCTGTATGTGAAATTTATAAACCCAATATTATTTGAAACATAGTATGTTTCTGATGATTATAAATAGATTTAAGCTACTTTTAATATTAATGAAAAAACCTCTTTAATTCAAAAAAAGCACACTTTATTGAAATTAAAAAAATCACTTTATCTTAAGATTTTTTTTGCCACACAATTGAAAAAAAATCGTTCTTCTCGTAGTTAGAGACTTAATATATTTAGCTTTAAATGAGTCGCTAAATAAACTCATTACTCAGACTTCTCGAGTTTGTGTATATTGTAGAAATTTCAAATATATTTGTTGTTTAGTAAATAGTGTAGTAAATCCATTAAATAGTTGTATTTTAGCTTTGTGATTGGTCTCATTCTTTTATACAGTGATGTTAAATCAATATTACGACAGTTGCTTGGTCTCTCGGTTGGGAAATGTAGAGTGTCATGCTGGGAAGCAACACAGTCTATCTTATAAGCCACTAATAATCTAATTCTTATTCTTTCCGATTTTAAGGAAAGGTGTATAAAATTGACCCTAACCAACTTATTTTCTCTTTTTCCATCTGTATATTTGAAAAATAACATTTCCAGTATAAACCTTGTTCCTTTTGTTTACTATAATGACCAAAATAATTATTTTATTTTTAAATTTTTTTGTGGGTTCTTGAGTCAGTTATATTTTTATTTAAAACATAATATGTTGACTCTATTTAATCATAATTTAAATAAAAATATTGCGAATCGAATTTATGATTAAATAAAACCAACGTATTTTGTATTTATTAAGAATAAAATTGACCTACATAATGCCAACAAAAAAAAACCAAAAAAAAAAATCTCTCTGTCATTATGCCTCGCTAGCACAGAACTTTGTTCAATAATATCCAAATTTTTTTCTATAGATTAGGCAATTTTTAACGATGCCTAAATTACTTTAATATTTTGTAGTTTATAAAAGTATATGTTTTAATGTTATAAGCTTTCAATGTTTTAGCTTAAAAGTAACAACAAATGTGGTGACCTATGAACATATTATCGTCTGCAGAACATGGCTAGAGTGACGGCCTTGTGTCCAAAGTCCATTTATGCTTAAAAAATGTCCCATTTTTTTACCACGACGGACTTACGTTTGTACGTACATCGACGAGACATTAGCACACAAGCAATGACGAAACACAATATTCCCCGATTAAGTAAAAGTGAACCAACTTGTCAGTTCTATAAACTTGCCTAAGTCGACAAGAAAAGAGTTCCTGAAGATTTTAGAACTTCTTCTAGTTATGAATGGACACAGATATTTGAGGTGGAGCACGGTTTCTTTCTTGTTCTCAGAGCTATTACATAGATATATATAGATCCTATTACACAGTGACTCGTCAGCAGTTATATCGACGTACTAAGCAGGTTACGCTTTTGTTGAAACAGCTGACTGGTGCGTTAATTTAGACCTAATCAATTTAAATATCTGACAAGAGGATTCATCTGCCCAATATTGTAATATCCACCTAACAAAAACCAACACTTTAATCTGTTCAGGCTGTTTTCCGTTCTTATGGACTTAATAATACTACTGTTTTTATTTTTTGCTGTGTGTTGTATTGTAACACAATATAATTAATTATTAACCGAGATAAATATTATTAAGTTGTTAATATAAATTAAAATTTATAAATATTTATAAATTAATTATTTAATATCAATTAAAAAATTACTGCGTTATTATATATTATTGAATATTATTATTTGCAATATTTCGATTAACTTAGTATAGTAATTTCAGTATATTCTATCCGAAATATTTGTAATTCATAAAATTGAATTGATTTTTTTTATTAATGCCCTTTGACCTATCTACTTTAATATATAAAAAACGCCTTATTAATGAAAAAACTTTTTATTTCAATCCTCTAATTATTAAGAAGTCAATTTGGACTGACCATAAAAAAATATCTTTAGATACCGTCAAATATTCATCATTGGTACTATTCGGAAAATATGTTGGTTTAATTATTTAAATATTATTTTTGGACTACAAATGTCAGAAATTAATTACTAATTCTATTAAAAAGATAACTTGAGCTCAGTTAAAATTTATGAATAAT